TCACAAAACACACATTCCTTACTGCATGGGTTGCATTCTGATATATTCTGCTTTATTCTGTACCTTTTTTTTTTCTTTTTAAAGAAAGTGAGGGTTGTAATTAATACATGGTGACCAATTTGGAAAACAGAGTTGTGGAACATGCAGCTGGGCAAGTCACTTGGGTTATCCGGGAGGCTTCTCCCAGCTCCAGCATTTGCTCCTGAACCTGAAGGATAAAGCAGTCAGGAGGCTGTGGGAATAGGCACATAAGCATATGACCGCGTTAAGATTTACCCCACTTAACGTACTTTTGGCTTTTCTTGGCCTATGTGAGTAGATAGAAATCTAATGAATGCTTAGTTTTTTTGGCAATTACTGTTTGAGAAAGGTTTGAGTTTAGTTACACATATGTCATCGAGACTATGGAGAGATTTGCAAAGGCCACTTTCGCATCAAAGATAGCTTCCACAGCCAAAGTCCTTGGGCCCTGGATGTGTTTCAGAGGCAAGAGTTTGTGGAATCTGAAATGTGATATTCTCCACATTACGTGTCATGCCCCACAGAGTCTCAAGCGGCAGCCAGTGATCAAACACATTAATTTTTCTTCAGCAAATGTATGAATATTCACGCTCCATGGGACAAAGACCAAAAATACCCTCATATCGGCTTAGGTCAGTCACGAGATAGGAGAACATTTTCAGTTTTCGGGACTTTCAGGATTTCAGAAGGCAGAAAATAAAATTTTGTTGTCCAATCATCATGTTTTTCTTTTTCAAACTCCAACATGAACATTTATCCCTTTAGGGGACCAATATTTAGCTCCATGCCCAATACATAGGTCGCACCCGGAAAATACTTGTTGGCCGAATGATTAAGATCAAGTACAGCTTATGGAAAACTCCTGTTCTGATCAAACCGCTGCTGAGAGAAAATAACCCTCTAGTTCTTGCTGAGTCCCTTCAGTTTTAACTCATTTCTTTCTTTCTTTGTAATTTTAAGAGGTTTATTCTGAGCCAAATTTGAGGACCATGACCCGGAGCCATGCCCAAGAAGCCTTGAGCAAGTGGCCGCTCTCTGGTTGTTAACCCATTTCTTATAAGTGGGTGGAAACCTTATTGTTTCCACTTGATTCTCTCACAAAGAACAGGGGAAGGGATGCTTATGGAGTTTTAAATTTTTTTTTCCATCTTCCTTCAGGGCTGCATCTGGGGAAGGAAGAGGCAGGCCCACTAGTTTTAGAGAGAGTTGCTTGAGTCAATAAAGCCTTTCTTACTCATTTGTTGTAGGTCCAGAAAGTTTGCCAAGTTCAAAATCTTTCTTAGTTTCCTTGTGCAAAGAATACAAACTAGACATAGTAACCACCTCTGTGAATATTCTGATTGTTTGGTTTTTTGGCACAGAATGCTTCGTTTGTCAGGAATTGGGGTTCCACAGGCTCGGCTCTATAGGGATCTGGGTTCAAATTCTGTCTCTGCCAACCTCTTGGCACATTACGTACACCCTTTTACGTAAGCCTCACTTTCTCATTGATAAAATATAAATGATATCGGACAGTGGTGTTAAAATTGTGGGTTCTTCAAATTGGAGAGCACCCTCACCTTTCCCGTGTGAGGCCCAGGGAGTGCACATTTATTTTGTTCCTTTTGCTCCTTGTATTTTATGGCCTTCCCGAAGTTCTGACAGTTCACGGTGGGCCCATTGCTGGATCCACAGTCTATAATTATTTATCCTCCTCTAGAAAGCACAGTGGCTTATAGTGTCTGATTTCCGGTTCTAATTTTAGTCCCTCCTAATGCCTCAGCTTTACGTTTGCTGGTTGTTCATAGCTGCCAGCTAGGAGGATCTTCATGACCTTTTTCTTTCCGTCCAGTTTGTTTGTTTGTTTCCAATCAGAAGGATAGGAGAAGGGGATGTTTTAACAGCTGCCATGACAGGGAACAAACTTTCACTGTTTTAGAGTGAGAGGGAAATTCCATCCCATTCACCAACACCCTCCCCCGCCAACTTCCCAGAGTTTTCTTTTGTTGTTTTAGTGAGACTTTGCATACAATCATGTGTTACCTAACAATGGGACATGTTCTGAGAAATGTGTCATTAGGCGATTTCATCATTGTGCAAAACATCATAGGGTACGCTTACACAAACCTGGATGGAGTAGCCTACCACTACACACCTAGGCCACATGGTACAGCCTGTTGCTCCTAGGCCACAAACCCGCACAGCATGTCACTGTACTAGATGCTGTAGGCATTTGTAACACAATGGCAAGTATTTGTGATCTAACCATATCTAAACATAGAAAAAGTAAGGTAAAAATATGGTAGTATCATCTTACGGGACCACTGTCATATCAGTGATCTGCTGAGTGAAATGTTATCATGCACTGCATGACTGTATAGCGCATTTGGCCAGATGCAATAAAAAATAGTCCACGTTTGTCATTGGAATCCCTGTGTGCTGCAGAAGGTGGCACAGAAACCCACCTGAATGACGTTGCCACCATGCCTTGACCCGGCACTTGTGGGCTGTTGCTAGCCTCTTAGTCCCTCTAGACCGTTTCAGCCGGTTCTAACTTTTGAGACACTGTGAAGCTTGAGGCCTCCAGAGCTTGAGTTTGCAAAGTGTGGGGTGCGCGTAGGCATGATTTGTGCCGCATGCCAATGTGCTGAGTAAGGATGCAGATTCCTGAGCCAGGCCCCAGAGATTTCCATTCAGTGGGTCTAGGCTGGAGCCCAGAATCTGCATTTGAACAAGCATCCTGGGGGTGCTGAGAGCAGTGTGGTCTAGGGTTACTTGTTGATGCCAAAGACTTGCCCCACCAGGGCAGGGTGGGGTTACAGGGGAGGTGTCCCACCTCTAGCTGGAATAGAAGCTCCACCTCAAGTTGTTTTATAAATGAGGTTTCAGCCTGAGGTCCATTCTACTGATGAAAATATATACTATTGAATATAATTGTTAGGAACTGCAGAGTTTCTGCTCTTCAAATCCTGGGCCAGTGGGTCTTAGCAGAGGCCTCTGTGCCTGTTTTCTGCCAGGTACCTTAGACCCAGAAGCAAAGAGGGCCGTTCCCAACTTGCGCAGCAGCCCATTCAAACCAGGCCTTGTGAGAGCAGCGGCTTCTCACTTGGGCTGTAACAGATTGCCGTTCAAGGTCAGGGAATTGGATTCCCATTTGGCCAGTAAGGCCCTTACCTGTTCCCCTTCAAGAGGCCAGATGTGACATCTAAGCTTAGCTACTGCAGCTCCCAGTGTCTCCATGCTCGGGGATTGTTTTCCCCAAAGTCGGAAGACACCGAGTGTCTTTGGGGCCTCAAGCTTGAATGTGATAAATTGGAGGGATGAGGGTGGCTGCCTTTGGGTCAGTGATACAGCACTGACAACCAGGCTGCTGATTACAGGAAAAGGACTGAAGGAACAAGGGCAGATCTGTTAAATTGTGTGTAAATGGTATTTTTTCCTGTGAAATCTCAATACCTCCCTTAGGATTCTGCAGTTTAGGTTTTCGAGCCACTCTCCTCTGATATTTACTCACTGGGGATTTTACTCTGGAGAAATCACTGTGGCAACAGAACCATTTTGCCTCCATGAAGACGATGTCAAAGTCTCAAAATCCAGGACGTTTTAAGGCAGGATTCCAACCTCATTACTGCCAGGAATAAAAATTCATCCAAGGTGGAAGTGTCCTCTTTTAGAACTCAAATCCGTCTCAGAATGGCTTTTCTTTCCCCTTTGTTTTTGAAGCTAAGCAATTACTTTTTTTTTTTTTAAAGAAAAAAAAATTGTGCTAATGCACAAAACTCTCTTTTTCCCCTTTCATTTATTTGAAATTGAACTTAACAAAGTCAGTCCCGAGCAAGCACTATATATGAGTAATGCTTTTTGTCCATAAAAGAGCATCGACTCCAATGGTTCGAGTGCTGATTCTCGCTCTGCTTTGTGTGAGCGTCCATAATGACAAAGTACTCGTGTCAGAGTGGATAATGAAACTATAAATTGTTTTCATGAATGCTCTGAATTTGGTCTTTTACGGGGCAAATTCAAAAGGTATTTAGTGCCACATTTCACATATGTGAATAACACCAGACAGTGCAGTATATCCAATAAAAAGTAAAGAGTCCTCTTTGGGCCCCCGCTGCCCAGTGTGATGGCCGAGAGTTAGGGCAGGTGGCTCGTGGCACGGGGCCGTGTGGAGAAGGAGGGACTAAGAAATCCCGTAACTCTGAGGCCGGAGTTTCAGGCAGGTGCACCCAGCTGTTTGGGGGAGAATTCAAAGTGTGGCTAAAATACTTAGCTCCTAAAATTGGTCTCTGGATGGGGGATGCCAGCATCTGAATCACAGAAGAAGTTAGACATATCATGGCCAAGTTGGTGAGCAAATTCGCAAGGAGAAAATGTGTGCTGGGTTTCATGGGCAGGTGCAATCTAGTGCAGTGATTTATGGTTCAATTAAATAACTTTTAATAACATTTTGGGATAATTTTTTTTATTATAGAAGCTGTATGGGTTTATCCTAGAAAATTTAGAAAACACAGACAAACATAAAGGAAAATGTAAAAACACGGGTAAATAATTTGGCTACCAAAAGATTGTTGTTAGCAATATTTTTATAAAGTTTTATTTAAGTATCTTTGTATACCTATCACCTTGTAAAATTTTTACTTAATCTTACCTGGGTATATAAATCCTTTCTAAACAAAATTGGGATCCAGCTATCTATTTACCCATCTATGTAACTTTTTAAAATATTCTGCTTTTTAACTTAATTGTCAATAAAATTGTTTTATCTGTCCCAGTTTGGCAAAGTTCATGGACATCCAAGGTTTTGGTTCTCTTGGGAGTGGACTACATGTTAGACATGGTAGCAGCCTTTATGAACATGTCATTTACTGATGAATGTATCTGAGCATATGATCTCTAAAAAGGAGAAAGACACACACCCCCGTGTGTTAAGTACAGTGTGTATGAAATGGGGGCCTGTGGATGCTGAGGACCGACTGCGTGGTTTGTTTGCTCTGCAGTACCTGGTGTGTAAAAGGAAGCTGGAGAGTAAGAAGGAAGCCCTGCTGATCCTGTCCAAGGAGCTGGACACCTGTCAACAGGAAAGGGACCAGTACAAACTCATGGCCAATCAGCTTCGAGAGCGCCACCAGTCCCTGAAGAAGAAGTACCGAGAGCTGATTGTACGTGTTACGCCACGGCGACTTTCCTGTTCTCCCAGTTAAGATATAGAGAGGGGACTTTCATGTGCTGTTTCTCCAAAAAATGATGAACTCCAAGCAGTTTGGAATTAGCAATGTTAAGGAGTGAAAGACACATACATAGTTTTACATGCATTTGTATGTATGTGCTTCCAGACTGCTTGCTCTGGCTCCTGTGAACGTACATACAGGTGCCACAGACACCCCCTCATCCACAGGGGACGTGTTCCAAGACCCCCAGCGGATGCCTGACACTGCAGGTAGTAGGGCCCCTGTATGCACTGTGTTTTCTTGACTGGATGGGTGAGCCGGCTCCCCGGTGACGAGCAGGTGGGTGGCCTCGACACTGTGGAGTGCTGGACACAGGGCTGATCCACATGCCAGCCGGGGCAGAGCAGGATGGCGCGAGATTCCATCGCGCTATTCAGAGCAGTGCGAGATTTAAAACTTATGACTTGTTTGGTTTGGGAATTTTCTACTTAATATGTTTGGACCATGGTTGACCTCAGGTAACTGAAACCAAGGATAAGGGGGGACTAATGTATGTGTAATTATTTACTTATTAATTTATTTATGTGGAGTTTCTTAAAAAAGGATTCATACCATAAATCTGCACTAATACAGAGGCCACTAGCTACAGGTGGCTATGTAAATTTAATTTTAAATTAGTTATAATTAAATAAAATAAGAGACTCCGCTTCTCAGTCTGACTTGTCACACCTCGGGGGCTCAGTCTCTGCCGGTGGCCGGTGGCTACTGTACCAGGCAGTGTTGCTTTAGAACACTGCCATGGTGGCTACTGCACCGGACAACGCAGAGAGAGGACATTTCCGTCATTCGAGAGTGTTCTGTTGGACAGCATTGCATAAATGTTGTTCTAAAACATACTCTTTCACTCAGCTTTATTTTGGACATCTTCCTGGGCCACACATACCGCTTTAACTCAGTCTTTAGACAGTTGCATAGTAATCCAGAGTAGGGCTGTATCCATCATTTTCATAACCTTTTCCTGCATCCTGGGCTTTTAGATTTTTCTCTAGGTTTTTATACGGCAATATTTTTAAGGATGCAAATTATACTGAAATGGAGGGCACCAACTGCATGGTGCTATATCACATTCTTTTCTCCTTTTTTCTCACTGATGCGAGCTCTCTTTTAAGTGCAGATACTATCTCTAGTCATCTGTGATGGGATCATTGAGCTGCGCTGGAGTAGAAATAGAAAGGAAAGATTCCTCAGGTTAAAATAATGTTGTCTTATATGTGAAGAGCATCAGATATAAGAGTATTCATTTAGTGAGCATTTACTTATTCACCTGCAATATTTCTATTCTCAGATGGCACAGGGGGAGAGGAATGGAGCCCTTTTAAAGTAAAAAAATCTAATAGGACTAGTTTTTTACTTAGAGCAAATCCTATCTACCTCACATTGTTCTGCCATAGAGAAAACTCGTGTGTATGTGTGCATGTGTGTGTGTGTGTGTATGTGTGTGTGCGTGTGTGCACATCCTATTGCTGTTCCTTTGGTTTTAACTACTTAAAAGAGAAACTCAAACCAAATGAAATATTATTTCAGTTTAGGCTGTGCTCAAAACTACTTTTGATAAATCCAGTTTTTTTTGATTCACTTAAGTTTTCAAAAATACATAGGTTTGGTCCTAATTGGAACTGCTTCCCTAGAGGTTTTTCCAAAATAACTCTGATTCAGTTTGTAGTTTTTAAAAAAGTATATTTGAGAATGGTTCAGCACATTACTGGTTGCAGGGTGGGGAGGTCTGAATTTAGGTTCATAGCTTTGTTCAGTTCCTTGAATCTAAGCACATCTGTTGTTTTTTTTTTTAAAGAAGAATAAAATGTAATATTTGTTTCTTTGTAGGATGGAGATCCATCACTTCCTCCTGAAAGAAGGAAACAGGTGAGATATATTCCTGATCTCAGATTGTTTTATTGATGCCTTACAATTGGAAGGATGAGGGAATCTCAAAATGTATACAGAACTTCTTTTAACCTCCTGGAACTCTTTGTGTTACCGGGAGGAGTAAGTGGTAGAGATTCTGGCTATGAAGAGGGGTTGGCAATGGCGTAAAAGAAACCAGTGCAGTCTAATAGGGTGGAGGAGGGTTAACTGCACCAGTTAACTGCATTCCCTTTCTTGTTGGGAATCTTGTTGGGAAACAGAGTTGAAGGCTCACAGCTATAGCACTTGAGCTTACTGTTCATTGTGCGCATACCGTCCTATGGGCACATACCATAATATGGGTGTGTGCTGTTCTGTAGGTGCATACTGTTTATTGGGTGCATACTGTTCTGAGGGTACTTACCATTCTGTGAGCACATACCACTCGCTGGGTGCATACTGTTCTGCTGTTTATTTTCTGCCACTTCACACTTTTAAGAGCCACCTTCTTCCTTCGGAACTCACAGGCCATTTACTTTCTTTTCCCTGGCATGGTAGCCAACACTACTTATTGACTGATCTACTTTCTCCCCACCGATTTTAGATCCCCACTCTCATCATTGAACAAATCTTTATATATATGTGGATGTGCTTCTTGACTTTCTTTTCTGTTCTGTTGAGCCTTCCTGTATAGTCATGTGATTCTTCCACATTATTCTATTTTTTTAATTTAAATTTTAGAGACAGGGTCTCACTCACTCAGGTCTCACTCAGGCTGGAGTGCAGTGGTGTCATCACAGCTCCAACTCTTGGACTCAAGCAATCCTCTTGCCTCAGCCTCCCAAGTAGCTGCGACTACAGGCTCTCACCACCATGCCCAGCTAATTTTTAAAAAGTTTTCTGTAGAGATGGGGGTCTCACTGTGTTGCCCAGGCTGGTCTTGAACTCCTGGCCTCAAGTAATCTTCCCACCTCAGCCTCCCCAGTCACTAAGGTTACATGTGTCAGCCGCTGTACCCAGCCTATTCTAATTGTTTTTGTTTTATGATACTTTTAATATCAATTTGGGCAAATCTCTTTCCCTTCGTTCTTTTTTAAAAAGGTGTTTACTATACTTTTTCCAAATAAAACTTAGAAACATTTTATCAGGTTCTCTTCGGATGCCCCCTCCCACAAATCCTATTGGTATTTTGATTGGGGTCTTGTTAAATTTATAGAGTAATATAAACATTGACAGACTTACTGGAATTCGTCTCTCTCTAATATACATATGTATGTGTGTGTATATATGGAGAGAGAGAGTGTGCATGCTTTTCCCAAAGATATCTTTGCTAGAATTTTTCCTTAACTTCACATTTCTTCTATACCGACATGCCCCAAATTACAGCTTTTTTGTGGGTTTCAAGGGAACCCACATGGAGCGTTGTGAATGCCATGTGTTTTGTGTTATGGGAAAGCCTCTGCCCAAGCAGGTCTTCAACCCTGGTGGATGCAAAGAATAAGGACGCAGGAGTTCTGTGGTCTCCACAGCTGCTGTGGCTACCCCAGCATCCTGCTTCTGTTCATTCATGATGCCGCTGGCTCCACATGTAAATTCCTTGGGTCATTACCTTGAGATTTTGATGCTGGTGAACAAGATGCCCAACACACACGCATGCACACACATGCACACACACACACATGTGCACAAGAACACACACGTGCACAAGCACACACGTACACACACATACACATGCATGTACACAAGCACACACATACATATTTACACAAGCATACATGCACAAGCACACATGTACATACACACATGTACATACACACATGCACACACATGCATGTACATAAGCACACACAGATACACACATGTGCACAAGCATACACATATGTGCACACATGCACGTGCACAAGCACACATGTACATAGACACATGCATGCACACACATGCATGTACACAAGCACATACACACACATATACACATACATGCATGTGCGCAAGCATACACATATGTGCACACATGCATGTGCACAAGCACATGTGTACATAGACACATGCATGCACACACATGCATGTACATAAGCACATACACACATATATACACACACATGCATGTGCGCAAGCATACACATATGTGCACACATGCATGTGCACAAGCACATGTGTACATAGACACATGCATGCACACACATGCATGTACATAAGCACATACACACATATATACACACACATGCATGTGCGCAAGCATACACATATGTGCACACATGCATGTGCACAAGCACATGTGTACATAGACACATGCATGCACACGCATGCATGTACATAAGCACATACACACATACATGCATGTGCGCAAGCATACACATATGTGCACGCATGCATGTGCACAAGCACATGTGTACATAGACACATGCATGCACACACATGCATGTACATAAGCACATACACACATATATACACACACATGCATGTGCGCAAGCATACACATATGTGCACACATGCATGTGCACAAGCACATGTGTACATAGACACATGCATGCACACACATGCATGTACATAAGCACATACACACATATATACACACACATGCATGTGCGCAAGCACACATGCACACACGCACGCACGCATGCACAAGGCTTTTACCCTTAAAGAGTAGCTCAGCCCTCTGGATGCCCATTCAGTCACTCAGCGCACTCACTTCCACACTCCCTTCCGGCTCTAAGCGACTATTTTACAAGGCTCCAGGTTTGGTCTAAAGTTAAATTTTTCTGGGAACCAATTGATTTTTTTTTCTAAACAAAATTACATAGAAATTTATCATTAATGTTTAAAAATTGGAATTCTTCATCTGGAATTGCTAGGTGTTTCCAGTTTCATGGTTTTGGTGGCTCTAAGCAGCCACCTTTGCTGCCATTTTAGAGTTTGTTAGTATTCATGAAGGCCTTTTACAGTTTTAAGTGAATTCACGTTCCGTAACTTTATAATAAAAAATTTACATTGACTGAGGAGAATCTGATGAATTCCAGTAAGTCTGTCAAGCTGCATTCTTATAGCTCTAAAAATACAAGTTCAATGTCCTGCACGTTGGCTTTGTAGCTTTTAATGTGACATTTAGTTTCTGTCCTTTTAGGATTTAGTATGGTGGGGGAGCTTGGGCTCTGCAGCCCTCCCGCCTGTGTTGGGGCCACTGACTTGCCACATGAGACAGGATGCTTTGGGGTGCAAGTGGCAGACATTCTAAACTGCCTGAACAATGAAGGAATTGATTACCTTACATAACCAGCAGTTCAGAGGTAGTGTGGGCTTTAGGTACTGTGTGGAATGTGGCTTCATGAAGTTGGCATGTACTTGTTCTCTTCACTGTGCCAAATTTAGCAAATAAAAACACAAGGTACCCAGGTCAGTTTGAATTTCAAATAGAAATATAGAAAGTTTTATACTTTTAGAATTTTTTTTAGTATAAAAGTATATGCTATGCAATATCAGGGGCATATTTATACTAAAATATTATTCATTGTTTATCTGAAATTCAAATCTAACCAGGCATCCTGTATTGCATCTGACAATTGTACCATTGTGCCAATTTTAACATCAGCTTCCTCTAATATTTAGTTGTCAGCTTCCTTGTGTGGCTGGTTCACCCTAAACAGGAGAGACAGAAAACCCAGCTATGGAATATAAGTCCTTCCCTCCAGTTGGGCTGGGCCAGTGTAGGACTTGCTCCCCTTCCTGGTCTAATAATATTCCCCAGGGGAGTACTACACACTAACTGGCTTCAGTCAGTCCCCTGGGATGGAAGGGCTGTTAGCAGTCAGCAGGGATATCCACTGAACTAATCGTGTGGCCTTGGGAAGGCTCTTGGGGTGTCTGAGCCTCAGTTTTCTCATCCATAAAATGGGGATAAATATGGTGCCCACCACATTGTGTGGCTGTTGGGAACAAGTGAGACGGTGCAGGTAGAGCCCTCAGCACAGCACCCGGCCCAGTGTGAGCGCCAATAAATGTTTCTCACCCTCTCCTCCTCGTTCGGCCCTTTTAAAAACAGTCGTATGTCAGCGTGCTGATTCTGTCCACCGTGACTCTTGGCTGTCTACAGGGCACACTGCCCTCGTTGAGACCCTCTTGGGTGCACTGGGCAGTGACGTACCTTGCTCCAAAGAGGAGGTTCTGGCTCATGGGCCCTCAGAAGGGTTTGGTCGAGCAGCCACCCAGGAGGGACAGAAATGCAGCTGGGCCTTGGGAAGAGCCACAGCCGGGGCTCTGTGTCCCAGGCCTCTCCTGCTCTCAGCTCTCTCTGTGTCATCGTCATCTCTTTTCATGGGCCGCTTTCCCCTCAGAAAGGGCAGTGTGGCGCCAACTGTACCAGGGATACAGACCCCACCTTTGGCCACTAGACAGAGGCCGCTCCCCGAATCCCAGGGGCCAGGCTGCGGCCGGGGGTCTGTCTCAGCACCGGATGGGCGCGGTCAGCCATCCAACTGACAAAAGGCAGCTCCTACTGTTGTCACGCAAGGGGTGCGAGACAGACAGTGTCACTACCGTTTGCCTCACACGCCTCTGTGAAACAGTCTTGGGAAGGCAGATAGTAATAACCGCAGCCAGTGGTCTCGGGTGCTCACTCTTAGCGGGTGCTGGGTACCGGGTGCACCGCTTTGCTGCGGATAATCTCATTTCGTGCTAGCACAGTCCTGTGGGTAGGTACTGTTATTATTATTGCCTTCTGACTCATGAGGACATTGAAGTTTTCGGAGGAGAATTTGCCCACAGGATGCAACGGGACTAACTGGTGATGGAGCCAGAGCTCGAGCCCCTGCAGCCAGTGCAGGCAGAGCTCGTGCCTCGGCAAGTGCTCACAAGCACCTGCGGACGTCCAAAGCCAACTCAGACAGGAGGCACACGGCGGCGAGCAAAGTCACACCCAGATCCCTGAGCTTGGACCTCGTAGTGAAGGTGACCGCACCCTCAGCTTACACAAACCGTGCCCGTCCACACAGCCCTGGCCTGGGCATCGTTTTCATTTCTGTCCC